TCGAGTGTAAATTTCGTCCTTCACATGTTATTACCATAACGGGTATGCTGTGTTCTTACATAAGCTGTCTTGGTAAATGCGTTCTCAAATCCGCAGGGCGAAAACGGCAGAAGTTAAACTATGGCGAAAAGTTTCCGGTAGACAGTGTCTTATATTAATATTGGGATATGATACAAGCGATACTAGATATGTATATGGGCATGGAGACTTCATGATACAGTTATCAGAGCGAGAAAATCCGGCTAGTAGGTAAATACAACATTCCGTATTGTACATGTGCAATACAGAACATTGTATTTCATGGTCTGAAAATTGCTTGTATTACTATAACAAGATTCAATAGGTATGTAATAAATGCAGTTATATACTTACCCTCAATGTCATAGGGGCGTGTATTAAGTATAGATCAACATAAGACAGCTTGAGTTTTCGCAGGCTCTCGGACATAGAACGTGCAACATCCGAAGGTCTGGTGTAGATATTGGCGAGCTTTGAAAAAGGGAGATAAACAAGATCATGGCTATAATTACCAACAGAAATGATTTTTTTTATTAAATGCATTGAATTCAAAAGAAATTTATATAAATGGTTACATTCGAAAATATTATTATACAAAAATAGTTTCAAAATATGAATAGTACTAAACAATTCGAAAATAGCTATGTACATTGTATATATAGAATATTTGATAGGTTTTCTGAGTTTGCGTTGAAAAAGAGGATATCAAATTGCGAAATTGTTTCAGATATCTTGATATTTTATATGTGAATGTGCTTATGTAATAGGTGTTGAATTTACTTGACACATATTAAAGTACCAATTTCTGTAATCATACATATTCATTTGATCTTCGAATAACTCCTCAATCAGCAGGCTATTGTTCTACATTCGCAGGCAAATATGTATCCAGCTAGACACGTGGTAACTGGAATCCTGATTAGTATTTCAAAGTATGAAGCTACGAGAGTTTCATGAAGGGTCAAACGTATCGAGATGCTCCTACTTTATCAACTGGAATGTGAATTTCAAATTAGTGACAGCTTCTTTGGAAAACCACGATACAAATATGGTCAAAATTGAATTCATTTTCCCCTGAAGTCCAAATAACATTCAACGGTATTTCTAATAACGTCTGCAAACACTTTTCACGCATTCAGTTAGAACAGGCTTACTTGATAACCAAGGGAATGTATGCAAGACAACGTGTTAACTTATCATGCTTCTGTATTACTATCTCTTCGAATACTGGTTAATGTTTAGCATACGTACCTGCCTCGTTTGTATTGGATTCCGAAATGTTACAAAGACTAAAAGGAATATAGAGCTTGGAGAACAATCTTTTTTTATCACGCCCTCAAACGCGTTTCTTCCATCAGAACATTTGGTTGTGTACTCTAAACACTGCCAAACGTCATACTAAACTAAAGGAACATCGTATTGTCAACGGTTAATACATATATAAATATGTTTGTAAACTTAAACTATTTTAAAACATATTTGGTTAAAACACAACAACGGCAAGCAAACGTGAGGATTAAAACAATGACAGTGAGAGTGCCTTGTTGACAGCATATTTTCTTGATTTGGTGGATTTTACAGCAGACTGTTGACATCCAAATGATAAATAACAGTACCCCTCTCCTTGCTGACTTGGTTTTGTTTTCTTATTAGGTACATATAAATGTATTGACGAGCTTTCCAGGACAGACATATCTGAACAAACCTTTCCAATATCTTAAAACTTCACGTCCGATGTACCGATGACTTTTGTCATTGATAACAGGAAGTTTTATCAATCACATCGATCGTACATACCCTTCCCTGGAACCTTAAAATAAGGATACTACATATTTTTCTTTCATCAGCTGCTTACCTCGATCATAACTAACATAACCAATAAGGACGACCTACCACTAACCTGTTCAGAAAGCGTCACGACGTCGATCTTTCGATCGTGAAATTTGCTTGTCTACCTACGGTGTCTACATGTCGCAGTTGAGTTGATATTCAACTGCCCTTTCCCGAATTTTCTTGATAGACGGACAAACCGTTCACATAGGAGCTTGAGGGATGTATGTTGATGAAGACTATGGCCACTATCACAATTTCATTGACAAAATATTCTACTAACTTGTGAAATTTAAAGTTCCGAAATAGTTTGTATAATTGTTCATGTAAATATTTCTGTTCTTATATTTGTTCTAGTTGCTTTTAAAATTTAATTCGGACACAAACAGTAATATTTTACCTTTGAATATCTTGAATATTACAATTTACCATTATTGACAATTTTTCCGCGTCTTCACTTTGTCAGAGAAATTCGCTATTCATAAGATTCCAAGCTCACCGGTTCGTTACCTTTGTACAGATGAACAATTCTTCCCTCTTCAATTTTCCAACTTTGAATGTTTCATCTAGGACTTCGCCTATTGCCTCCTCGTTGAGGTAGTTGTAGGCTGTATCAATGAGGCGGTATCCAGCATCAAGAGCAGTCCGGACGGCCGTCTTCACTTCGTCGGGTTTACTCTGAAGATGTATTAATTGGTATTCTTTGTAAAGTGATGTTCAACAAATGTGTTCGTTATTAAGCACACATATTTCTAACAGCAGAGTGGACCAAAATGTTCTAATGTTCCAGTTGTAGAAAAGACAAAAAAGGAATCCAGGAGAGAACCACAAAA